GTTAAGCTCAGCAGGGATCCGATCCCATGACCTGTTGCGTGGTAAACGCGGCTCCATAACTCCGTTCAGAGAATCGCTTTGCAAATTTTGAAGGCAGATTCAAGATCAGCGTCCAAAACCACGTCTAGTGATCTACATCTCATCACAAATGGCCACTTCGACCTGACGACCTTCCCTAGTAGTATCACTACCATCCAGTTCCGTTTCCGTGCACTTTTGACCGGAGAAAGTTGCACGGTAGTGCGATTCACCTCGCAAGGACCGTGCTTGGAGTACAGTTTGCCTTTGACACACATTCAAAATAGCGATGGGAGCAACGAAATATACTGCAGTCCTGTTCCAGTTGGTTCGTAGTTGTAGCTCAACCGGTGCTGTTGCTCAAAAACACCATGCGGTGATAGAGTACTGTTTTTTTTCAATCCGAACAACTCAGCTTAGGCTAGGCATAGGCTTTTCTGCTCGGATTGTTTCAGGCTGTATTTGAAAACGTTATGTTCATTTTCCTCGATAACATAACGTTTCTTAACTATTTCGGTTTCAGAGACCTTGGAGGAACAACTTCAGGAAGTTCAAGAAAAGAATGAGTGGCTTACAGACGATGAGCAGCCTTCTGTAATGGAGGAGGAGAAACGTTCATCAAGCGAGAATGAGAAACAGAGCGAGGGCGAGGAAGAGGAGCACAAAACGCTGAATAGAAGGGAAAGAGGAAGAAGTTGAGCGCAAGAAGGAACACGAGGAACTAGATGCTTCAGCTACGGAGGACGGCAGGCAGAAAAACGAGAAAACAGTGGGCGGAATCGCAATAATGAAGCTGAACCTTCCAGTGGACGATGTGGATGACAAGGAGCAAGAGAGCGATACGTCAGCCGAAAAGTTCATTTCTCCAGGAGATGAGAAGGGGGGAAAGGCGGACCGGCAAACGAAAGATGTAGCGAAATCTGAAGATGTTGCTGTAACAGAAGAAAAGCAGAACGCGTTGAAAAATGCCAGTGCAGTTGAAGAACCGAGTTTCATCGAAAATCCAGCCGCGCTAAAGAGTCTCAATGAGAGCGATACGTCAGCCGAAAAGTTCATTTCTCCAGGAGATGAGAAGGGGGGAAAGGCGGACCGGCAAACGAAAGATGTAGCGAAATCTGAAGATGTTGCTGTAACAGAAGAAAAGCAGAACGCGTTGAAAAATGCCAGTGCAGTTGAAGAACCGAGTTTCATCGAAAATCCAGCCGCGCTGAAGAGTCTCAATGAGATCCGTTCCTATGTTGCAAAAGAATTCGAAGATATCAGGTTAGGGATTTTCTTCATTTTCAATTTATTCGGGATTTCAAGTCCTGAACCTGACTGATCTTTCAACTCAGCGTGGGAAGATCATCCACCACATATAATTTGCTATTTCGGTTTCACCAGAAGAATAATTGCGAGAGTTGGAGCCGTCTAAGCCGTGCATGGGCTAGTTGGCATGGCGAACAAGATTTGTGAAGAGCTCTCGTTAATCATAGCATAAGCCCGCGCACCGAAAGTCAGCGATGTCACTAAAAAAATTTGAAATTCGGTTTCAGAGCAGCTCCGTGATGGGAAAAGTTGGAATAAGGTTAGCAAGGGATGGGCAGACGAAAAGGAGTAGACGCGAAATGGGCGGGGCGTACGTGGGTTGGGCGGCGATCCCCCAAAGGTCGGTTCGGTCCCCGGGAGAGTCAAGAGATTACAGAAAAGTCCATGGCGAAGACAATCATCTGGCAAGAGTCCGTTGTATCTGCGGTGTGCTGAGACCCGTCCACGGTGAGCGGGCGTGCCAGGAAACATGTGTTCATATCAGGAAATTGTAGTTCGGTTCTGGTCAAGGAGCGTTGACCAGCTGTTCAGTCAAAAGAAAAGCCCGATATTAGTTAGGTATTCAGTCATGTGGAAGACAGTAAGCGCGACGAAGTCGGGCTGTATTACAGAGGGTGAACGCTGAGCCGTCTGGTTTCTCAAAAAATCGATTTCAATGTCTTATGTTTTGGTAGAGTAATAGCTTTGATTCAGTGAAATTTGGTCCGAGAGTTACAAAAGCGGCACTGAAAGGGAAGAAACTGGCAAAGATGAGAATTCTCTCCTGGAGCGCACTACTGACGGTCGAACGAGTTTTGTGAGCCGTCAAGATGTTGTGAAATGCAGCGAAGCGGCATGATAACACTCAGTTTTATAGGGTTTCAATCGTAGCGAGTTATGCGACCTCTTGTCGTCGTCTATTTCGGAATTAATGGCAGATGCAGCTTCACAACGGCGCCGTTCATTATCGAAAACACAGGTGCCCCGCTACAGGTTGAGCGATTCACTTCTGGAGGATTCTTTTAGTTCCACTCCCAGGTCACCACGTGCCCCTCAAGAGTGAGTAAACGTTAGTAGTTGGTTGTTTGGTTCTTGTCACAGAGAGCGCTTTATTTTGTTTAAGGCGTTTCACAACAAAAATGCCTACATCACCTCGATCGACAGCACTGGTGGAAAAATGCCTAGACAGTTCATTGGTAAGTACAGCTTACGATGTGGTTAATTTTTAAGATCCCCACCTCTGACTTCAGCCATGGTGCGACCAAAAGTAGGGATGGAATCTGACTGTAGAATGTGAAAGCTGACATGAATCGTAGCGCAGCACTTTCTCTCGTTCAGTGAAACTTCTAGAATTTCCCATCCAGCTGGGAGGGGGGGGGGGGAATAGAATGGTTTGTATAAGTTGCCCTCTG